TGAATAAAATATATGCGAAAAACTTATGTTATCCAGGATGAGAACCAAAAGGTTTCGGACTTGAATGTGCCAAAGTGGAAATTTATTTTTACATGTAGGAAGCAAACATTAACAGAGCGAATACCAAACAAGAAAGCAAAATGAATTCCTTAAGGATACAAGTATGAAAACAAAGAGAAAACGCTATGAGAATAATTTTTTGATACCCAGGAAAACCTTCTGGACGCATTTGAGCTTTTTGTGCCAAAAAGCCCATTATTATACTACTCACGGTAACGTTAATAATGGCTATATAAATATCAGAAGAATCAAGATTTATTAATTCAGAATATTTATTAGAGTGATAAAAGAAATTTCAATAAAAATACCTAGTGGATCAAGATCCATCAGCTCTGATCACCTAAGAAGATAATAATATATAAAAGGATAGCTAAAAATGAGAAAGATAAAGGAAGAAATAAAAGAATTAGTAGAAAAAAAAAACAGAAGAGGATAAATAAAAGGTTGAATTTAAAGAAGTGGAAAAAGGAGGAAAAGGAGAAAATGATATGATATAGTATTAGGAAGGATGGAAAAAAAATGAGAAAAAAATGAAAGATTAATAAAGGAAACAGAAGAAAGTATGATAATAGAGTAACAAAAAATAGAAAGGAAGAAAAATTTGGACCAGTAGAGAAATTGAAGATGTATAAGAAGTAGGAAAAGTTGAAAAAGCAGGAGAAGTAAAAGAAATAGGAGAACTAACAGAAAATGTAAGAGAGTAAGAATAAAAACTTAAAGAAGGAAAAAAAAGAGGATTAAGAAGAAGGAGAAGAAATAGAAGAAATAACAGAAGAAAAAGAAGAAGAAGAAGAAACAGTTATAGAAGAAGAGAAAAGGAAGGAAATACAGCTGTTAAAGGGGTCTAAGAAGTGGGAATTAAGAGGGGATGAAAGAAAGGAAGTTGAAGAAATATTTTATCATCTTAGCATGACAACTGCTTGAATTACACCTTAAATAAGATCCTGTCAAATTCTTTGAATTATCGTTTAAAGATTCCTTGAATAATAAATGTAAATTATTTATTGGTTTACTTCTTTGTAAATAATATTTTTAAAATAATCAAATTGCGAAAAATGATACCCACCAAAAGTAAAGAAAGTTGAAATAAAGATAAAATAAAGTTGCAAGTTCCTCTTTATTTATTTTCAAAAAAAAAAAAAGTCGGCCAATGAACAATCATCAATGATCATCATTACGTAATTCGTAAATAACATATGAATATCGTGATCCGAATTTTTGTATGAAAAATTATGAAAGAATTAGATTAATAAAAATTTATTTTACAAATTATGTATTTATGAAATCTATTTTCTAATAATCCAACAAATTTATGAACTTTACACACATAATGCTAAATCCTTTTGAAGAGCATATGTCCATATTCCAATATTTATTCATTACAAGGCAGGGTTCACAATTTAATTCACATTTGTACATACGGCAAAAGATTCTAAATGTTTTATTCTACATGATTTATGTTTACATGATAACACACAACACATAAGCCCGCAAAATAATAATCTATCACATTCATGTTTATAATTTGCTCGTTCAACAATTTTCCCTTCTTTTGTGTTTGAAGATTTTAAGTCTTTGAATTTTGAAACATGTATCTAAATATTTGTGAGTACTGTATATTATATAAACAAGGACGAAATAAAGGCGGATGGATCCGATAAAAACAAAGGTGAGAACTTCACAACTAGAAATTGACACAACTATATTGCCAAAATTATACTTTGTCATGTGATGAAGTTTAAATAAAATAAATAGGTACATATAAATTATTCTTAGATATTTACTATAGTTGCGTGGCAAAACCCTAAACCCAATTTGGAAATTATTTCGACAGTTTCGATAACAACTTTGAGAATTTGACGGTTTAATAGGTTTATTGTATCACAATGTAGAATATAAAACGATTTTTGATTTTTTTGCTTTTGAACAGTTCCAAAATAATAATTATTTATCGAGTAGGTTTTAAATATGGAAGGAAGCACTAGTACTTGTTGAAGAATTAGAAAAAATTACTTTTTGAAGGACCGGGTTTATTTTTATATCCGGATTTATTTAATTTTAAAAATGGATCCGGATTTAAATCCGAATATCGAATCTCTATTTCAAAAACTGTGCAGATCAAATAATTTTTTTTTAAAGCTTAATAAATTATACATCCGGTGCAGATATCTGGGTTTAAATCCGATTTTTCAAATGGAAGTTTAAGTGATGAAGAAAATATGGGAGATAAATGATGTAACTGGACTTGATGATCAATATGTAAATTTTTTTGATTGCATATTAAAGACTTTTATAATCATTTGAAAATATTTCTCCTAGTTACAATTCCCGGGAATATTATCAAAGAGATAAATTTAAACCTTTGTATAATGAAAGCTTCAATTTACATTTTATGAATCAGCAATATGGTCGAAAGAATCGAAGAATCGCATCCATAAAGATATTATAATTCTGAAGAACGATACTTCAGATATTTGGATAATTGTTCAAAATTCATATAAAGAGAAATTTGACTGGAAATAAAGAGCTACAAGGCATCAAATCTCTGATATTAGACGTCTGTATCGTGCCGAGTTCGTTAAGTACCAGCCCTAGTTTTTCTTAATTAACCAAAATTAAAATTAGAACTCCGCAAAATTTGTAAATTCGTTCTATACAAACAATTATTTTTTATTCAATTTAATAAATTTATAAATTCAGTTCAAAAAGAAGTTTCAGATTTTAGTGATTTAGATAAATTACACTATAAGTTTAGAATTTTCCGGGCCGTGCCGGGTTCAAGGTACCAGCCCGGATTTTCTATATTTTGTCGCGTTAGAATTATTGAAATATTTTATTTTATTTTATATAAAACAAAAAGGAACTAAAAATCAAATTAATCAAAAAAAAAAGAATTAAAATGTCAAAGTTTGGCTGTATTTTAATGAAATTATGGTATTTTAAATTTGCACAAATAAATTTTAATTTATCGTAGTAATGAAAAGAGCTCCTATTTTTTTTCCTATTTCAGAAAAAAATTTTCTTTTGTGCTTAACCTAAAACGGATGCGAAGCTTTTTTTTTTTATACATTCCTTTACTTTAAAAACCCATAAGTTTCATGGCATGATCTTCTTATCTGGTTAGAGTTTGCTTGCCGAATTTGGGAAAAAGATCCTCTGAATTTACTACGCGGTACATCGTTTAACGTATACCTACTGGTGGTAGATTAGCTGTACCCGTAAGCTTTTCCGCCACCTACTAGAAAAATTATTCCCTTGTGAATCGTGACTGAGTATGGCTGAAGATAAATTTTGACTGAGCAAAATGGCCATGTCGTTTTTAGTATAGTTTACGGTCTACTATCCCGATGTACGAACCTCCTGTTCGCCTTATTTATATATTTTCAGAAATCGATTTGCATATTAGGTTAATTAAACAAGATCCAGACTAAACAAATACGTATATCTTTTTTATATATTTTTTTCGATGAAAAAAAAGAACGAAGACGTAAACAAAGGACGATAGAGGAAATCTACCATATGGTACTCGTGTAAAATAAATGATGAAAAAAAATATCTTCTAACAGGACAATTTTTTTTCCCATTGACTAAAAATCTCGTCTATAAAAAGCTTTTACACGTTCCTTAACAATTCCCTCATAAATGAAAGAATGTGCAACGACACGATCCCTGTGGAACAATCCGTCCGGGTCGCATTTTCTATCAAAGGTCGCTGATTGGTGTGGATGTTAGTAAGCAGACTCATTACTTTGAGGTGTATGGAAATAATTGCTACAGTATCCAATTTCCATTACAAAACTTTTTCGCCCTCATAAAACGAAATCGATGATCGCGTAGCGTGGGTATTAGGAATCAAATGTACTGGCTAGTAAAAATTTGTAAAATAAATATTTGTAAAATACAATCAAATATCATAAATTAATTATACTGGTTCGAGTTAAATTAAGTCCGGGCTGGGCTGTGCTGGTATTTTAAAACTTTTGCTTAAAGTCTAGGCTGGGCCGAGCTTCAAAATACAGCCTCTACACTGACAAAAATTTAGTCCTAAACAGTAAATATTAAATAGCGATTTTGTATTACAAAGAACACCAATAATTTTTTTTGCGTCACCGATCATCAAACTACGATCTCTTCAAATCATTTATTTTTTATTAGGTCCGGGTTGCTTATTTCAGGATACGAAATGATGAGATATTTCAGAAAAGTCGAACAAACTAAATTTTTGGTCACTGATCTAGAAAATAATTATGACCAACATAGGAAGACGATTTGGTGCACCCTTTATTTGGTAATTATGACGGAATTGCTTTATAAATGTGTAACGCGCCTTCAAGCCAGAAAATCCAGCCATAATAATATTGAAAACCTGTTGCCATATGGAATCACGTGTATTTATATTTTCTTTATGTAGTTAGTTTATGCATTTTTTTTTGTGCATTATCAATATAATGTTAAAAAATGAAATGTAGTTAAATTAATTTATTAGTGTTCATTTGAAATATAATCGTTATCTAAAGGCCAGCGTGTAATGTCATTCAAAATATTTGTGCCTCCATTTAGTATTAATCTTCTTGCTTCACCAATTCTTTTTGAAAATTTCGATGATATATAGCCGCAACCTTCAGGACCAGAAATAAAATAACTCGAATTCGTCAAGACTAATTTATCAAATATTCCTTGTAATCCAGAACCTTGAAATTCTTCATTAATTTCATTTTTATATTCGGGAAATATATTATAAATTACATCCAATGTTTTCATTGATACCCAAGTATTTAATTTAAAGGTGTTGTTTAATATTTTAATGGCATCACGATGTTGTTCAGATATGATATGGAATGTTGTTGATTGCGCTTTCTTTTTGCCTGCATCCACTAACGGATAATCTGTCGCAAAGTATATGTTATAAATCCCAATTTCCGCTTGCAGTTT